TTATTTTGGAGGGCGAACAGCTACAAGATTTGAAAATGCAATACTTTTGCTCTACAGTCCCTTCAAAGTGAATTAATTCAATTCTTTTCTCAACTCTCTTACATGTATCCTTTTTTATCTTTCTTGGTTTTTCGAGACAGGGTTTCTCTGTGTAGCTTTGGAGCCTGTCCTGGAACTTGCTCTGTAGACCAGGCTGGCCTGAACTCACAGAGATCCACCTGTCTCTGCTTCCCAAATGCTGGGATTAAATGCATGAGCCACCACTGTCCGGCTCACATGCATTTTTTTAACTTACATAACTAAAATGCTTGAGCACTTGGGAGGGTGAGGCAGGAGGATTGGTGTGAGATTCAGGCCAGTCTGGGCCGTAGGGAAACCCTGCTGCAAAACAAAAATAAAAAGGGAAAGAAAACAACAAACCAGACAGACAGATAAATAAATAAAAACGTGGTTTAAGGTCTAAGTAATTTATAATTTGTAAGAATTTACTACTTATTAAAATTTAGTTTTGTGCTTCAATGAGCACTGTTAAGAAAAACTAACTCGCCAGGTGGTGGTGGCACACACTCTTAATCCCAGCACTTGGAAGGCAGAGGCAGGCGGATCTCAGTGAGTTTGAGGTCAACCTGATCTACAAAGTAAGTTCCAGTACACAGAGAAACCCTGTCTCGAAAAAAAAGGAAGGAAGGAAGGAAGGGAGGAAGGAAGGAAGGAAGAGAAAAGAAAAACTAGCTCACAAATAGGGAAAACAAATGTCAAATCATGTAACTGAAAGGGTGTTTATAAAAATAACTCTTAGCAGGCAACAGTGATACACACCTTTAATCCCAGCATTCAGGAAGCAGAGACAGGCAGATCTCTCTGAATTCTAGGCCATCCTGGTCTACAGAGAGAGTTCAGACAGCCAGGGATACACAGAGAAACCCCGTCTTGATAAAAAAAAAAAATAGAATTAAAACATAGTATCTGTTTTAAAAACAGGCAAAGAATATAAATACACAGGTCTCCAAAGAAGACAAGCAAGTGCTGCTTATCCTGTCACTGGTACAACAGAAACCAGGCACACATGGTACCACTAAGGCTAGAATCAAAAGGGCAGAGAACAACAAGGGTTGGTAAAGATGCAGAAAAACCGTAGGCTTTGCTCATTATATGTTGAAAGCGTCTAACACCACAGCTGCTTTGGAAAACACCATGACGATTCCTCCAAATAGTTAAATACAGACTTACCAGATAACCAGCAATTCCATTCTCAGATAAATACTCAAGAGATAAGAAAATACATTTCACATACAAACTTATACACGAACGCTCACAGCAAACTTACTTACATGGTAGTAACTAGCCCAAAAGGCAAACACCCATGAACTACAAATGAATGAACAAAATACGGTATGTCCATACAATGAAATATGATTCAAGCATAAAAAGAATATTCCATATGTACTACAGAATAAAGAGTTTTGTTTGTTTGTTTGAGACAGAGTTTTGCTGTGTTGTGTAGCCCTGGCTGTCCTGGATCTCACTCTGTAGACCAGGCTGGACTTGAATTCACAGAGATCCACCTGTCTCTGCCTCCAGAGTACTGGGACTAAAGTTGTGCGCTACCACTGCCAGGACATAAATCTTAAAATATGATTAAAGTGAGAAACAGAAGACCAGATACTGAATGTTCTAGATACAGTATGTCTGAGGAGGGCAAGCCCATACAGAGGTAGCTTAGTGGTTGCTAGGACTGGGAGGGGAGAATGATGAAATATTTTAACTGAGTGAAATGATTAAATGGCTGCACTACTCTGTGACAGCATTGCACCCTGATGAACTGTACACCTTAGGTGAGTTAAACTATACGGTATGAGAATTACAGTGCAATAAAGCCTCTACGAAACAGAAAGAACCCACTGTGCACTGTCAGAGTACTAAGCAGGCACTAAAATAGTAGAGAATCTTGCCCGTGAACTTCAGAGAACCTCAACTAGGGCAATGAAAACCCAAGAGATTCCATTACTTAACATCTAGGTACTAGGCCATGCTGAAATATTCATGAGGAATTCCATGTTTTAATACAGAAGGCTGTCTCTAGTTTAAAAGACATGGGCCAGTCCCAGAAGAGTTCTGGTGACTCGAACGCTAACACAGGGAAGTTACACGATGGAACACAAGTCCTGCAGCCTTTACCACCTGCATCAGTAGGCTGAGTGTCAAAGTAGCTCTCACTGAACCAACCCGGGAGAGGTTAGGCAATTACTACAATTACTGTTTCTAAAGCACCAATTTGTAACATCAAAATGTTAAATGAATATTGTGCTCTCATGAAGAACTGAGTCTTCCACATCCCCATTTATTTAGCTAAGAAACTACCTTACCATTTCAAACATTCTATCACATAAACATTAGAGCAACTCCCCACACAGTAGGAATGGATCCCAGGAGTAATGTTTAAAAATGCTATTTAACAATCCTGAATCTAATCCTAAATTATACATAGACACAAAAACTGATTAGCATGACCTGGTTGAAGTAATAAATAACCATGAAAACTTAAATGTGCCTGCAGTAACATTTCTCCAGTATATATATTTATGTTAAAACTCAAGACACTTGGGAGACTGCAGAGATGGCTAAGATGCTAAGTGCACTTGCTGCTCTTCCAGAGGAACCAGGTTCAGTTCTCAGCATCCACACAGATGGCTCACTACCATCTGTAACTCCAGCTCCAGGGGATCCCATGCCTCTGGCCTCTGAGGATGCACTTGTGCACATACCTCCCCCCCACACACACACAACTTAATCATAAAGATCTTTTAAAGTCATCAGGCTTTCGTGTACTGTCCACAATTAAAACATATGTAACACACTCACAGAGAGAGAACGCATGTTCTGATTTCTTAAAGGAGGGATTTCTTAAAGGAGTGTTTATGTGACTGTCAACTACCAAAAACAGGGCATTTCTGGACCTATGGTACAAGGCAAGCCTGCTTTATCTCATTTCTTTAGTCTATTCATACATGTGTCTTAGTCAGGGTTACTATAACTGTGATGAAACACCATAACCAAAGCAACTTGGGGAGGAAAGGGTTAATTCAGCTTCCACTTCCACATCACTGTTTACCATCCAAAGGAAGTCAGGACAGGAACTCAAACAGGGCAGGAACCAGGAGGCAGGAGCCAAAGGCCATGGAGGGGTGGGGCTTACTGGCTTGTTCCTCAGGGCTTGTTCAGCCAGTTTTCTCATAGAACCCAGGGCTAGGAGCCCAGTGGTGACCACACCCACAATTGCTGGGCCCTCCCCACAGGAATCACTAAGAAAATGCCCCACAGGCTTGCCTACAACCTGATCGTGTGGAGACATTTTCTCAATTGAGCCTCGTCTCTGATGACTCTAGCTTGTGTCAAGTTGACAGAAAACCAGCTAGTACAACACATAACCTCTTAGAGTCGATGTTCACTATTGGGCCGTCTACCCAAACATTAGAGTGTGAAACACACCTCAAGTCTCCCTAGTCAGCCTTCTGACACATGTACAGCCAAATACTCAACAGTCTTTATCCTGAAGCTCCTGAGGCTGCAGAAGGGAATATGAGCCACTGATTTGTCTTCACAACTGAACAGGCGGCAGAAACAACTGCTTGTACTTAATCGTGTTCCTGCCTCTGCTAGCAGGCCCTAGCGTCAGGGTTCTGCCAGACACGGACAATGAGACACTTTATTATATAGGGTGACTAAGGGCCTCCCAAGTATTGTTTTAGGATATAATCCCAGCAAGGAAAGCTATGGTACGGGGATACAATATTTTGGGCCAACCATTTCCAAAACTAAACATATGTGGCACTGTGTAAAAACACACTTGCGGTCAATTCTTTTTAAATGCTTACAGGAAGGGAAGGCCTTAGGATCTTGCAATTCTGGGAGAGATGAACAACTTGCAATTTGCTTCTCACTCCTAATCCCACGACCGAAATGTGTAGAGCAAGCCGTTCCGACACCACAAAACAAGGGCAGCCTACATGAAGGCCAAATATAGGATGTGATTCTAAACCACGATGGAGCGAAGCCTGCATTTCCTTTTCCAGCCTGCAAAAACCCTTTGAACACTCCCAAAAAAGGACGTCGGGGCCGGCACCTCCCTCGGGGAGGAAGCCCCTTTCTTCTCGGCAAGCCTGTAGCCGGCCACTTCCCCTGGCGCGTTCACATCACTGGAGACTGGGCTGCTGTGCGTACACCCGCGGGGGGACCGGCGGCGGAGCTGGGCTGGGCGTCCCCACCCTCCACATCTGATGTCATCCTAGCCATCTCGGCGCGGCGGAGCCCCACCTGCCCCGCGGGTCACTAGGTTCCGCGCCCGGCCTCCCTACAAGGTTCCTCCTCCCGGCCACGCCGCTGCAGCCTGCCCCCGCCCCAGGTCTTCAGAGTCCAGGAGGCCGTGCACCCCG